GGGTGTAAACTTGTGTTAAGCATGGGTGTAAACTTGTGTTAAACGTGGGTATAAACTTGTGTTTAGCGTGGGTGTAAACTTGTGTTTCATTATTTCCTGTTAAGAATAATAAACGCTGGATCTACAAGGGATATATTTAAAACTCTCAATTAAAACAATTGAATTCAATAAACTAGATTTATGATGTCATATATGGATATAAAAAAAGACAAAAAACAGTAACAGCATTTTTCATCAGGCTAGATCTACAACGTTTTTTCTAGGAAAAAACATATACAAACTGGTTATATCGTAAGCCCACTCATTGTATTTGGATCACAGCTGATTAATAAAAGGCAAGATCAGATAACAATAATCAAGAAAAGAAGAAAAACAAAGTTCTTTCAAAGCTGGTCTTGAAAAGCACAAATGCTGAACCAGAACGGCAATTAAACGGCAAGATAAAAAAATTCCAAATAGAAAAACTAATTTTATTTTAGACTATATATACATGACGCAATCTTGAATTAAAAAGGCAACTATTGGCAAGATCTATTATTCGAGACAACAAGAGGATGCTTGATAAAACCCAAACCCTCAATCAATGCATGTGTTGAGGTCTTCGTAGAAGGCTGTTTCAGTATAAAGTCGTCAATTTTACTTGACACAAACTCTATTTTATAAAAACAATAGAAACTATTGAAAGCGGAAAAAATCAAGATTTAGCCAAGGTTATTTGTTGAAAATAAAACATTTTATTTTAGGCGAAGTTTTACAGAAAAAAAGGCTAATTACTTGAGACAAAATCTATAAGTTGAGATAACATGGTTACACTTGCCCAAACCAAAACTCTCATTCGATGCATGTGCTGAAACCACCACCAACGGCTCTTTCAAAATGACGTTAATATATTTGCGTGACACAAATTCTAAACAAAAACAATTTGAACTACAGGAAAGAAATATATGACTTTTATTAGATTTAAAAACATGAAATGCCAAATTTATTAAACTCTATCCTAAAACATACCATACAAATACTATTGAATAAGAAAAAATTTAAAGTTGAATAAAATTTGAGTAAAATTTAAAAAATTTAAGTAAAATTTCAAAGATTTTTTTTGAAAAATATTAGAAAAGAGTTTTTGAACCGCCACAATATTAAAATAATTTTGCATACAGTTTTAAATAATCTAAAGGTGGCAGAAGCTAAACATGTTTTTTAATCTACAAATTGTAAGTATGTATGTTTGTATGTATGGATGCATGGATGGATGGATAAAATTAGAAATGTTAGAATTAAACAATTTAGTTTCAAGTATTAAAAAATACTTCAACCGTAAAGCTTTATTTTAGTCAGATTAAAAATAAGTAACAAAATTGTAACAAAATTCCAAATAATTTATTTAAAAATAACTAGTTTGCCGCTTTTCGCACATTATTCCCAAAGTAAATATTTTTACTTTGGGAATAATAGGTTTTAAACTTACTAATGTGTATGGAAAAAACAGTTTCGCTTCAAGTTTTTAAGTACATCTAAAATGATAGATAAAATGTAAACAGCGAACTGCAAACCAGTTTGCGAAAACCATTTTATTGATTACTGAGGGTGCAATTATTAATTATTGAGGGTGCAATTATTCTTTCTATATTTCTTACCAATTATAATTACGACTAAACCATATCCCAACAAAACTTCAGTCGATTAATCTGAACCTATTCCTACTATTATTCTATTCGTAATGCAATAATGTTGTTATAAAGATTAATATAAGAATAACATTTTAAATAAGACAAGTTTTATGGTAACCTTAAATTTGATTAGTAGTTTGCGATTTGTACTTTACAATCTTTTAAATTTTTATTTTTTACTTTTTTTATAACCTTTTAAAAGTTTTATTTTGTATTTTCTTTATAACCTATTAAATTTTGTTTCTGTAAATAAAGCATGACCAGAAGCCTTAAGAGTATTACAATTTCGAAATCTACTTGTTAATATTTTTAAATAGTTATAATTCTATCACAACCAAAAGATTGTGAAACAAAAATTGACAAGTTGAACATGTTGTAAGCAATCTATTATAATTTTATAACAACCAAAAGATTTTGAATCAAAAAGAGACAAGTTTATCATGTATCAAGTAATCTATTGTAATTCTATCACAACCAAAAGATTTTCGAACAAAAAGTGACAATTTTACATGTTTCAAGTAATCTATTCTTTGATTAAGTTTATTTAGCAGAACTGCTATCATGTTATATATTAAATGCTATTTACGTTTTGAGTAGATAATAAAAAATACTATTAAAATATAACTATGGTAAATAGATGAAATAAAATAGATAAAAAATTTTAAAATATAAGTTTATATTAGTTTAATGAAAATCAAATAAAAACAAGCAACAATAAAAACAGCTGATTTTGTAAGCTTCTTATTTTTTTCAGTGAGCTCGTTAATTTTTTTTTTTTTTATTTCACTGAATCCGTAAATATTTTTTTGCTACATCTGCCGCAAATATGTGAAACTATTCATCAAAAAGTTTCGCTTTCGAGCTTTTTTTTATTAATTACATATTTTTAATTATTATAAAATTGAAAAACAAATCAGAAGGGCTTTAAAATGATGTTTGACCTGTGAATAAGGGTAACATTTTGTCTTGAGTTTAAAAGTTTTAATGCCAATAGAAAATTACGACTGTTTCTATTTTTTCAACTTTTTTTTTAATTTTGTTAAATTTAATCATAATTTTACTTTTACTTTTTAATATACTTTTTATTTATTTATTTATTTTGGTACTTATATATTTATAATTATCCTATATTAATCCTCCACAATTTTAGAACCATTTAAAAAATTAAAGTTTTTGAAGATTTTTTTAATAAAACGTTTTGCTATTAATTTGCAGATAAGGAGAATAACGTTTCTTTTTTTTTTTTTTTTTTTTTTTAAAAAAAAAAAAAAATGAAAACAGAACTACAAAATGAATTTTGGATGATTTTTTTTCTTCAAGAAGAAAACAATAAATAATTAAGTATATAAAAGAATCTTGCTATGTTTTAATTTTTATTTTGTACGTATTGATAACGAAATTGATAATCGAAATCTATCATTCCCAAGTATAATACCAAACTTACGTATCTCATGATTTATATATATTATTATAAAATATATTATTATAAAATATATGTTCTTGTTTTAGTGCTTTTTATACTTTTGTCATAGTTTACTAAATATTTAGGAGCCGAATATACGATCTAAATAGTTATAAATATCTATAACTATAATAATATATTGAAAACAAAGTCTACCTGAATTATATGTTATCTTCCTAATTATCAGGTTTACAAAAAAATAATATAAAGTCTCATTAGATTAGTTCATAATTTACTTGTCTTTTGAGCCTTAGCAACAATGACCGCTATACATGTTCTTGGCATTTTACTAAACGACTTATCCAATTTGTCGAAGTTAACTTTATGCCACTAACTAAAAATTTTTCCCCATCTAATGCGACATTAAGCATTAGTTTTTGACATTTTTTTAATTCGTTCCATAAAAATTCGATAGGAGGTAGATCTTGTGATTGGGGAGGCTAAATCTGCCTATCAAGAGTTGAATATTTAATTGTTCTCAAACTCAGTCAAATAACTTACGCAAGTTTTTGAAAAATGATTTGGATTTAAATTTTAAGTCTTTTTCTTCTTAAAGTATAAATGGTTTCCTCTTAACCCGTAATACCGAGAGTACAGCGTGATTTTTTAAGTGTACAAGTAAACTACTTTTGTCATTATTCCCTCTATTTGTTCAAAGTCACCTGTGGCATTCGAACCAAAACAGCCCCACACCTTAAGACTACATCCGCCATGTTTTAAAGTAATACACACCATTTTATCATACATTTTACACCATTTTATCGTACATAATACTCACCATTTTATCATACATTCAATGATTTTTTTTCAGGCAAACAATCTTATATGGTCCATTTTTTATGCAGTTTTGCCCATAAGGGGCAAAACTGCATAAAATAATATCTATATATAAAAATGGAAATATAATATTTACTTTAATTATTACATTTTTATTAATTCTAGCTGTAAAATTTTTAAATTTAGTTTGAAAATGGCTCCAATTTTTGAAACAAAATATTACCCTTAAATATATAAATAATAATAATAGTAATAATATATATATATATATAAATTTGTGTATATATATATATATATATATATATATATATATATATATATATATATACATATATATATATATATATATATATATATATATATATACATATATATATATATATATATATATATACATATATATATATATATATATATATATATATATATATATATATATATATATATATATATATATATATATATATATATATATATATATATATATATATGTATAAATATATACATATATGTTTGTATATATATAAATTATGTTTCTTACAATTTAATTAGTGCCATATAATCTTAATCAAACATTTAGCAAATAATTTATCCTTAACATTATTTATTTATACTTCATTATTTATTTATACTATATTTATGTTGTATGTCACGTGTTTATCAAACAATATTTAGCAGCGTCATTTACCTTGGTAACTGTCAGTAACTTTGGTAATTAATGTAAACAAAAACAAAAAAAATTTAAACCAGTAACTGTATGTTGTATGATGCCTAAAAAATTTAATGTTGCTTTCTATAATTGTTTAGAAAACATTTATAACTTACAAAGTTAAGGTTCTATCACTCTCTAAAAATTTTATGATGAATATCCATTCATTGCAAACATTTTAGTTCATTCATTGGAGGTATTTTACGGTTCAAGTAACGTTTATTTCGATTTAATTTGCGTGCTCTTCTACATTTATTAAATATTAACAGATATATGAATGTCACGTATAGCCGTATTAAAAGCAATAGTGGTTAAATGGAAGCGTTAGGTACAGCCTCAAAGTACTTATTTTTAAATAGAGTTTCATTTACTTAAGCATTTATTTTCTGAATAACACAATTGAATTGAAAATTGAATGTAGCTAACCGCAAAAATTTATTTTTTGTTGTGTATTTATCATTAATTCTCAGTTGTTGTATGCCACACGCCAATGCTTGTGTATTTTTTAAGTTTAGCGAAACCTGAAAAGAAAGTTCCTGTTTTGATTTTTTTTTTTTAAATTGCTGGATAGAGGAGGCGCGTAAAATAATTTATTCATCGTCGAGTGGCTCTTCATTCATAAATTTTATTTTAAACGTAAACATTTAATTTTTTAAAGTAACTAGCTGATACTATATTTAATATTTAATTTTTTTATGTTATATTAATATTCATTACATTTGTTATGAATACCTAAGATGAATTATTTTGTAAATATTATGATAAAATTGATAATAATAATTTATAGGTTTGAAGAAAATTGTTCCTGTCTAATCTTTATCGTTTAAAAGTGTTTATCGCAATATAGATGTTGTCCCAAAGTTCAGTAGGTTTGGTGGAGGGCTCCTTTTTAAATGATTGTAAAGCAGAAAATCTTAAAAAGTCAATCTCTGTAAGGCCAATACACGCCTCAGAATCTTTCAATTGCTTTTCTTCTGCTGAGAAACTGCGTGGCAAGTTTCAACGCGAGTTTTTAAATAATTCAATGTCTTCTAATTTAGTTACGTCAAACTCGCCAATATACCACCCTAAGGAGTATATTTACAATAAAAATAATTCTGTTTCTCCGTTCAAAAGTTACAGTAATAATAATAACAATAATACAATTTGCTTTTCTCGACGCAGTTTTAATCCGTATTATTTGGAAAAGCATGAATATAATCATCCGGAATATAACCATCCGGAAGACTTTTATGTTGAAAAAGTTCATAAATACTCTAAAGAGATGTCACCAACTTTTAACTTTAATAGAATTCCCTCACAAAATAACGCAAATTTTCAAATTTATAATAAACCCCGTCTAATGGGCTCAATGAGTCCCCCGCATCTGCAAAGCCTTAGTTCAAACAACAACAGGTATAATCATGTTTCTAACCCCAATCACAGTGATAACTATAATGGATTTCGAAAACAAAACGGTAGTTGTGCGGTATGCGCTGATAAATTGAGTTCTTATTTTCATGGAGCAATAATATGTGTCAGTTGCCAAGGTTTTTTCAAAAGAGCTCTAAAGAATGGTAGGAAGTATACATGTTATGCCCAACGAAAATGCAGCTTAAACAAGAAAACAAGAAACCACTGTCAGGCCTGCAGACTTGCAGCATGCTTTAAAGTTGGAGTCAAAAAAGACGGTAAATATATATGTTAACATATTTATTTCACTTTTTAATTTGGCATTTAAACAAATCTTAAGTTAATAAAATTTTAGAAGGTTCTATTTTTGTATTGAAAAGTGTACAAAAAGAGTGTGGTTTATTGTTGGAGGAAAGGTGTACAAGAATTGTGTAATTTATTGTTGGAGGAAAAAGATACAAGAAGTGTGTAATTTATTTTCGGAGGGGGTAAATTAATGATACTTATATATAAATGAAAAAGGAAAAAATGTTATAATTATGTTCAGAAGTTCATAAAGAAAATGAGAAGAGAGGTTTTTATACTTACATTTAAAAGTGCAACTGTTATTAAGGTGGGAAGCATTTCAACATTTTTTATTCTGAAGTCCACATTGTAGTGGGGAAGGGTTTGAGAGAAAAGTATTGAGAATAAAGGTATTTAGAAACGTAACTAGTATTTTGATTTTTTTTATATATATGGGTTAAATTTATTTTCAATTTTTTAATTAGGCGTGTTAGAAGAAATTTGTTTTGAAAAAGAACAAAAAATGGCACAAAAATCAGTAAAAAAAAAAAATAAAGAACTTTCACCTTCTTCCTCCTCTATTGATCTAAAGTCTATATATGATGCTGAGAGATTTGCTCACCCTCATATCAGTAATGTTACAGAAATAAAAGCCAACGTAATTCATCATTTGTGTCAATCTATTGATAAGCAGGTATATTTTTTACACTTTTCATTTTTTAACTTGCATTTTACTTTTCAATAATTTTTCTTTATTAGCAGAATGTAATTCTGTCATTTGTTATAATCTGTATTTCCTTTTTATCTATATTTTATCATTATTTTTTTATGTTTAACTATGCGTTTATTTTAAAAATATATATTTTTCAGTAAGTGTTAGTGTTTCAGTGTGCGTTAATTATGCACGCGTTAATTATGCACATAAACGAAAAAGTTATTTTTGAATATCAAAAATAACTTTTTTTAAATAAATTTTTCTTTTAAATATTACTTATTTATTTAGCTTGTATCATTAGCAGAATGGGCTCGACGTCTACCTTGTTTTGAAGATTTAAATATCACAGATCAAATAAAAGTTCTTCAATCCAACTGGAGTGAGCTTTTAATTGGAGCATTATGTTTTCGTTCATTAACTTCCAATGGCTTGATGCTTGAAACTGGTTTATATGTACCACGTGGGAGCATTCAGGATAACAGTATTGAAACAACCCTTACTCGAACATTTGACAAAGTACTTGATAGAATGAAAGATCTTCAAGTCGATATGACAGAATGGGGTTGTCTACGAGCAGTAATTTTGTTTAACCCCGGTATTTTTTTGTATTTATTTTCTG